GTTAAGTAGAATGCATGTTAAATAATAAATGTAAATACAATGATTATTAAATACATAGCTGGTAGTTAGTTCCGTTATCTGTCACTATTGTGTGGTATAACAAATTAGCTAATATTTCTCATCAATTCTTTTACAGTTGATTCTGTTGTTATGTTTTTCATTCTTTTTATTATCGGGAACTTGCTATATGCGTCGACAAATACCATATATTTGTTCTCTTCGAATTGTGCAAAATTTATGTGTACACGTTCAAACATTTTTGTTGTTGTTCTCCATAGGTATATTGTGTGGATTATCCGCCCATTTTTTGCATGTATCACAATTTTTTACCTCTTGATCTATTTCTGTGTTAATACCAGGCCACCATAAGTAATCTCTTGCTAACAGTTTCGTTTTACCAGCGCCTAGATGTCCTTTATACAATTGTAACATCTCATTTCTCATATTTCGTGGCATAATAATCCTTCAAGCTCAATTCCATCTCCATATTTTGTATGTTTTATTCTTTATCGGTTCATCATTCCTAATATTGTCCCTTTAATTCTTCATCCACTCTTGTTTCTTTAACTATTCTTTTGAAATTTTCCCCTAGTTTGTTCCGATTTAGATTCAATATCATTATTTTCTTTAATATTTTAAATCAATCTTAAGTTATGATATACTCTTACCAATTTCCCCATTGTAGAAGTCTTCAATCGATTTCTGTTTTTCGTATGAATATTGTCCCAAACGGACCAATTTTTTTCTGAAGAAGTCGAACTAGGAAATGTTAGTAAAATATAGCTACTTCTCTTAATGGGCAAAGTTGGCAAAGTGCATTCCACCAACTTGTGGCCGAAATCTGGTTATTTCTTATGGAAGTTACCACTTTCCACATATTTTGGCTATTAAATATGCCAATTTATTATATCACTTAAAATATTTTGATTATCACCACCTTGTAAAATTAATTCTTGTTATTAAATCACATACTTCATCAAATTCAGCACTTGTAAGATGCTCCCCATGATATCGGGGGTCCAATAAATAAGCAGCATTGTGAGCACATGTATTTTTAGATCATTTTTTCTCTTTTCAAACATAACTAATTTTTATTTCTTCAGATAGAGAAAATATAGAATCATGGAATGGTTATATTATGTATTTTTCCAAATTAAGCATCTCGTTTTTTACGTGGTCCAAAGTACATTTATTCCCTTGCACTTTCAACAATGAGGTAGCTAAAGGTTAGAGTATAGCTAAAAAAATTTAATTTTTCGTCCAAAATATTTCTTTATTTAATATATTATTAATTTCTATGGGACAAATATCACATACAGCTTCTTCAACAACTCTTACATATTTGTATTTGCTCCATACATTTTATTGACGATGTTCATCTTATTTGGTTAATTGTACTTAATGTATATGGTATACCATGTTGATTCTTATTACGGGAAATTACTGTATTCTTGAAAATTTAATAATTTTTTTAATTGAAATATGGTAACTGAAGTCGTTCAATTGTTCAAAATCGTGAAAGAATAACTGCAATGTATACGGCGCACAGCTATAACATTGTATATGATTATAAATAGATTCAGATTTTAGAATTCTCCAGGCTGCTAACATGTTAGCGGTATTATCATTAACTAAAGAATATACTTTTACCGGATTCAGTTCATTAATTACATTTTTAAATTCTTTGGCAATATACCTTATGGCGATTTTCCTCAGTATTTAAAAATTGTAGAATATTGGAACAGGCGTCATCACCATAAAATTAATAAAATTCTCGTTTCTGATGTTGCTCCAGCCATCTGATACAATTGATAAGTGAGGAGCTTTATGTATTATATTTGCAACTCTCGCCTCCAATCTTCTGACGCTTTGTCTAGAAAATATCCAGCCAGCTGCCTTCTCCTGGGTAAAGTGTAAATAGGACGTATTTTTTTAAAGAATTCTTGGATGTAGGGATTTTCAGTGATGTGGAAAGGTAAATTGCTCGCATATACAGCCTTTGCAAACAATTAATTGAGCTCACTTTTTTCTTTGGGATTCATTCTATCTATGAAACCGGTTGTACAAGATTGAGATTTACATTTAATCGTCTTGCTTGTAGATTGAACAGAGATAATGGAATCAATTTCCTTGAGACACAATAGTGTCAATTTTATAATCATTCTCACTAATTTCACCCAATTCTTCGCTAGAGCTAGAAGTATTAAAAATTACATTATTGTGATTTTTTGTAGAAGTTGATATTTTGGAATTTGAATAAAAATTATGACAGGATACATTACAGCTGCTTAATAAATGCTTGACCATTCTACTAATCTGGGTAATATAGGACATCTTGCAAAACCTGCACACCGCTTTAACTGATTTATCATCGTGTACTTCTTGAAAATGTTTTCAAACTTGATGCTTCGGTTTGACCAAATTGAACTTAAAAGATTTTAAATATTGTAAAGTTAATCAATCTTAATTATTTTTACGACTCAATGATTTGGTTTAATATTATATAAAATATAATATAATATAAAACTTTTTACCAGAATTGAATAAATTATTTTGTAAATCTGACGAGATTAACTAAAAAAAATTAATTTATAAATCCAAATGTAGCAAGTGGAAGTAAAATAAAGGCGAATTAATATAATTTATACCCGGCTAAATATTAAATAAAATTTTAATTTATTAAAAAATAAACCATGACTTAGCTAAATTATTATATTTATTTATTTTAGTAATAAAAAAATTCTTTTGTTTTCGATTCCTTCATGATACAAATATATTTTTAAATAAATTATAACCTAATAAGATTGATAATATGCTTTTAATGCATATTAGTTAATTATATCAAAATATTTATTCGCCAATAATATTTTAGAGTATTTGACCGGTCAAATACTCTTCCAGTCAATTGGCCGAATTTGACCTGTTAATTGACCGACATACCAACCCTGATTTAAATTAAATTAAAAAATATATTATGCTAGAGTTTTGAAAGAATTTCATTTGTCGTTGAAATTTAATGCTGTACTGGAATTATCAAACTAACATCCCTCTCATTAGGAAATATCCGATATTTATACCGATCTTATATATTATAGAGTATTTGCTGGCGTTTCCTATTCCTATACAATAAAGTATATTTTAAAATATCAAATGAATAATATATGTGATTTTAGAGTTGAAAAATGTTTTTATCTTGGGAGCTTATCAAATCAAATGGTTTTGCACTGGCCGCTATTGGCATTTGTGACAACAGAGATTGAATTTAAAATTATCTATAATTCAGCCATACCGGTGTTACAAGCTATAATCCTATTATATTAGTATTTTTTATATAGAATGTTTTATTGATTATATGCCTATCGCAAATTTCTGTTTTATTCGTTGAAATTTAACTCATACATTTTTATAATTATTTCCTTCTTTATTCCTCCATCGAAATATTGTAGTAATAATATTCGAAGAAAAATATATCACTCTTATTCCACAATCTATATATGATCGAGTAACCGTTTTCTAATAAAAAGAGATCACGCTTGAGAATTATATTTTCGACCACCAAATGGTTGGACGTGTATTTTTATTAATAACTTTTTTAGTCGTTTTGACAATTTATAGAGAGGAGTTTGGATATAATTGTTCATATCTATCTATAGAAACATAATATTCAATTTGATATGGGTTCTCTAAGTTTTCTTAAGTGTCTAGAGAGGTGGCAGAAAATTTGAAGGATTGATATGGCACTACTTTATTAAATCAGGGTAACTATCAGAATTCTTGCATAATTATATAGATAATAATGAGATCTAAATATAACTAAAATTTATGATAGAAATATTTATATGCATTTTTTTTTCGAATAAAATAAAACTATGTAAAAGGAACAATTTGAATTAGAATAAAAAATTTCAGAGAATGTCATTCAATGACACTTCAGAATAATAAATGTTGGAAAAAAAATGAAGTTGTTACAATAAAATAATAAAAAGCGATAAAAATTATATAAATAATACACTTATAAAAAATAGGGTTCAATGGACCCATTTAAACAGTAGTGGTAATAATCTTTTTTGACTATGTTATAGTTATTCATTGATGTATTTTGGGCACCATAATATATATAAGCTTCTGAAACATTTTATTACTCAAATATGGTAGATGATCTTCAGAAACATTTGATAGGCTAAGTGCAAAAGTACAATATGCATTTTTTAATTACTTGTGACATTTTATAGGGTTTTTAACAAACTAAAAAAACTTGTGCCAACTTCGCGAAAGTCGATTGAAAGCACTAACGATGATATATATCATTCTTTAGTGCTTCGCTTGTAGATATAATCACTTTTGTAGCCGAATTTAAGAATAAAAAATTATTTATTAAAAAAACAAAAATAAACAAATAAATTCTGCTACTATACGGATTGAAGCAAAACGAAGCACTAAAATATGACATATGATTCATCGTCAGTGCTTCCAATCGTTCCTCCAACTTCACGGAGCTTAAAATTAACATTGAAACGTTTGATTATGTAATCTACCTCATCAATCAAATTTCAAATAATAATTTTCTCTATATACTTTGTTATGTTCTACACAAATCAATTTTAAATGTTATTTTATACCCATCTAAAATGATCATTATATAAAAAGTATCTTGGATTCTCTTTTCTGGCAAAAGATACAAGTATCTTATTGATATTTTTAATAAGATGCTACCTAAGAAGAATCTATATCTAGAATTTTTTTAGAGGACTTGTCCTACTCAGTTTTTTTTTGAAGACTTGTCCTACTCAGTGTATGTAGAGGGTTAATTTTTATTAACTTGAAATTGATATTTATAAAAAATCAGGGGAAATTTCCTCTTCCTTTAACTGGTTACCCTCATGCAACTTATCAAATTTATTTAAAAAAATTTATATTACATTTTAAATATGATATTTTATATTAATGATAAATTAATATATTTTAATATTTGATATCAAACGTTTTAAATATGTTCTTAGTGCCATTGATTCTATACATCTAATGAGTATGTCTATAAATCAATCAGTCGAATCTCAATTGACCCAAAAAGATAATTTGCAACTAGCTAGTTCAGTAAATACCAAAAATGGTGCAGGAGCAGGTGAAATAGCTACATTGTTTAGAAGAATACATTCGCCAGATAAATGGAGTGAAGTATAATAAATATATAAAAGTAAGGTCTGAGCAGTGGCATTGTTGGAAGAGGGGACTAGTGCAGGGTTGTCATATATTCTTAACTCCAAGGCATACGTTTTTCTTTTATATGAGTTTTCAAAATTTTGTCCCCATAGCCTATCTTCGGCGGTCCTTCGGCCTGATTTTTCCAGATAAGCATAATATTAATTATTTATATTTATCATTTAAAAAGAGACAAATGAGATTTTTCACCCGCTTTAGGAAGTAAGCTAAAATTTATTAACATGAATAATGTTAACCTTATGTAAAAATATAAGTTTAACCTCGCTGTTTATAAAGTAAATACAATCTGTCGCGTTTTTTTCTCTACACATTCATTAGACTGGGTCTCTCGTGTGACGTATTTGAGTGTAAATTAAGAATTATAAGTTAGGAGTACGATTTCATTAAATATTTAAAAAATAGTATATAATATATCTACTAAAAGTAGCTCGTCAAAAGAGCTTTAAAAATATAAAAGCTAGCAAAAAGTGAAGTATAGGCGATCCCCTTCTCTCCCCTTAACGCTACCCTGCTAGTTAATTTGGTAAAATCAAATGATTAATATAAGAGTGAAATTATGGAGACTAATTTGACATTAGAAATTACAATGTTAACTAATAGTAATTTAAACTATTCTTACTGTCTATGATAAAATATATGAATGCATTTAATAATTAACCATTTATATTGTAACAAATTATATAGCTTAAGATTTTTAGAATTTTTTAGGGATTTAGTTTTAAATAATTATTATAATAATAATTTATTATATTTTAATTTTACAGATAGAAGCTTCCTTTGGTAATGACCTTACTATTGGGTTCAAACATTTTCGTTCTCTCTCAACTCGCATGTAATTTTTTAAAATATAATGACATAAACTGTAATCATTATAATGTTTATAATTAATTAATAAAATTGGGAACATTATACAAAAAGAATACCTTTAATATAATTTTTTTTATATTTAAGACACCTTAAAAATATAAAGTTTCAAATAATTTTTAGGTATATAAATGGCTCGATTCTATCAAAAATAATGAGTGATGGTACAATCTTCCCTGGATTACAATTAAGTTTTTTAATCATTTTAAATATTAGTTTTTTTTAAATATTATTCATTATATGTAAGATTTAAAGCTTTAAATAATTTTACCTTGAGTATATATAAATTTTATATATACTCAAGATCAGAAATGCACCTATATTAAGTGATACCTTAAGTTTCTATTTATACCACTGGCTGCTATATTTATTGTGTAAACAAATATTTATTTATATAATAAACTGACTCAAAATTACATTAAAATGTATTTATTCGACTGTTATTTATTTTATATGCCATCTTATGGAAAAGAATTTAAATAAGTATTGATAAAATAAATAAACATATATCCGAAGTGCCTTCTGGCTCTTGTGCATTCTACATGCTTAAAAATGAAGCTCTTTCGGGAAAACACCGGTTTAGCTTTACCATTTAAAACAAAGGGTACAAATTGAAATTCTAAGGGAGGAGCTTCACTTGCCATATACCATAACTATTCATCTTTAGATTTTGAAAAGGTAACTTTACATTGTAACTAGTTACATTTTCATATGTAACTATGAATGTATACATTTAAATTTTTATTTTATCATTAAATGAAAAGTGTTGGAATATATTTATTAATGTGTGTTAAATTTTTTAATTAAAGATTAAAATAAATTTGTTTTTAATTCTTTGTCACCAATCATATTGAAATCAAATTTTGGAAATTTTTTTTGGGCCGGACCAGGCAAAAAGTAGAGATGCCCGGCCCAACTTAATAGATATTAGAGAATATAAAAAATTATTGAATGCCATATTTTGTTAAAATAATACTTTTTTATTTGCAATTTTAATGATGACAAATTATTAGGTTTTTATCTCAAAACATGGGTAAATTATTGTTGACAGAAATAGGACATATATTGTAAAGTATGAGACTTATCGATGAATTCTGCTATTTGATAGAAGTGATAAAAAGTATTTTTAATTTAACCACTCCCCAATATTATAAATGGTTATTTATTTTGATGTTCAACTACAAATATTTTAGGATATGTAAAAAACCGTGCGGTTTTTAAAAAAATTGGTGTGAACAACTTTAGTAAAAAATGAAACCGAGCTGGGTAACCGTACTGAAAAATTTGGGTCAGGCAAAATCTATCCTACCGGGTCAGGCCTGAAAATTTTGCCATTTGCAGACCACTAACAGTAATATTGTTTAAAATTTAATAAGCAGCTTCGTTATTTAATTTACCAGTGTTGTTAAAGTAGCACACTACTTTTTTCATTAGCGGTAGCTTTAGCAGAGACTACATTTTAAAAAAAGGCTATAGCGGTAGCTCATTACTTTAAATTTTATATAGTAAATGCCTATGAAAGTTATTACAATATTTTTATAATTAAATTAAACCATTCCAAAATTTTTCAAGCTTTATTAAAAGTATTCTAGTTATTAAATATTTAATAAAGAGTAGTAATATAATTATAATAATGAAGTAAATAGTTAGTAAAAGATTACGAATTAGAAAAAAAAATCATAATAACAAAAAGACAATATTGAGCATAAATAATAAAATATACAAAATAAATAAAAGCAAAACCAATTATTCAAAATCCTGTTCTTCTAATCATCAGGAGAGATCGAATTGATAAAACAAACATAATTAGCTTTAAGAATAGCTATTGCGATCCTCTGCTTTTTGTAAAAGCCTTCGCGAGGTTCTCCAGAATTTTTCCTGATTACGCGGCCAACGTCTTTAAAAAACTTTTTAGTCAAATCACCATATGTTGTTAAAGTGGAGCAGATGATTGGTATGAATATGTAATTAAAAGAATCAGCACTGTATTTGGTGATTTTAAAATTTTGAGCTCTGTTCAGAGAGCGTCCTTGTTAAAATTAGAAGGGGAGTTCATGTCCAAACAAGAAAAATCTCATACTATAAACTTTTTGTGACCATGGAATTCGTGTAACTCCATCAGGACGCCTACTATTTGAAAGAGACCAGAAGGCTCCATTGAGATAGGATAACCAGCTGATCTAAGTGCAAGAGATATGATTTGATTGCACCTCGAGTGCCGGGTTTATCGATAGGGATTTTGTTATAATCAGTATGACATTTGCTGCATTTATATGAAAATGAAAAGGAATGTTGAGCCTGTTACATAGAGCATAGCTGAGCTCGTGATTGACCAATTCATGCTTAAGATTGCTAGATGGAATAATAATTAAAAATTCATATCCCCGATCCTTGATAAGTTCAATGCCTAGCCAAAGGTGAAAGACTCGAAATAAGGTAATCAACTGAGTTTTTGACGAGTGGTAGATCCTAATCCTTCTGTTTTACAGAGATCGGAAATATTGTTATGGTCGTGGCGGATTTTACCCATTCCGTCCTAGCTGTATTCAAAAAGGGATCGTGGACTGACAGATTATGGTCAATTAATCTTTGTGCCTGAAGGTGGCTAGCAATGAACGTACATATTGAGATCCAGTGGGGATCTTATACCAAGTACGTCATGCTTGGAAGGAAGTGCAGCTTGATGCCAAGAAATGTCTGTAAACTTGATATTTAAGCAGTCACTAAGAATTACTCTTATTCTGGTTTCGAATCTTACTAGATGCACCCTCTCTAAAAATAATGTGCTCGATCGTAGGGCGTAAAGGATTTTAGGGATGTTGAAGAAATTCCTAATTAAAAAAAGGCCTTGTGAACCGAGAGACAGGGAAGAATGCGTTTTAAATTTTCAATCCATATCGCTAAAAAAAGAATTTACTGACTCCTCACTAATGGGAGAGCCCAAATGTGTAAATTTTTCAAAGGGACATGCTTAAAACCAAAAATGTTTAATGAAATTGTATTGATTTCACAATATTTGGTTTGGTTGATTACAAGTCCGAGACTGTCAGTGGAAGCCTTATTAATATTAACAGCCTTTCCCACCTTAGCAGAATCGCCGTACCCCATCATCAGTGTACCATAAATTTAGAGGTAGAGCTGTCATTTTTTTATTTTAGTGATCAAATCATGGATACCCAGACAAAATAATATTTATCCTAGTGTCACCCTGTTGAATACCTTCAGAAGAGGTTAAGATATAATGGCCAAATACCAAATGGGATGGTTTTTTATATATGAAAGGATATAGTTTGTAAAAGCTGGGAAATGTTTTATGAATTGTGAAATGATTACTTTTCTGTGAATGCTATTGTATGCATTTCTAAATTTAACAAGGTGTTGAGCGATTTTAGCTTTCTGAACATAAATACGAGTTATATATGCAGCCACTTCACACCCTGAGCTCGTTCCAACACCTAATTGAAGAGGAAGAAGTATGTTAGAAATTTATGCAGAAATCCTGCTAGCTATAAGCTTGGAATATAATCTCCTATATACAGCACCAACGGCAATAGGCCTGATATCACCATTCTTTTTTCTCAGGGCGACAAATTTGGCTCCAAGATAGAGGGTTTTTGCGAAATCTGGAACGTCACCATTGATGACCTTGTTGCATAATTGAGTTATTGTAGTCTTTGATATAACACCGCGTCCACTGGAACAAGTGTGTTAAAGGAGCTGCATAATCTAAAGCACCATTTATGTCCTGTTTGTTTATTTTGTTATCGATTAACTTCACCTTGAATTTTAAATCGTCCTGCTTTTTGTTGCAGGTGTGAGTTATGATATCACGGGGTTCATAATTGATATTAGAAGATGCTAGTTTAATATTCTTAGTGAAAGAATTACCATTCACAGCAGGAATTTGGAAAGATTTCTAGCCGAATAAAAGAAAGGCTGAGCTTGCATCCTTAGAAGAGAAGTTTTTTAACAGCCTATCAATGCATTGAGCATAATTGGTAGAAACACCTTGTCTGGCACCTTGGAATTCTAGAAATCAAACGAGGTTTGGATAGTCCAAAGAGTTGGTCAATGAAGGAATTGGTGAAATGAATATCGGGGATATTAAATTCGAGGATGCTTGATGTAGCAATATTACCATGATTTGATGTAGATGAAACAGATGACTGTGTCACACAAAAGGGAACTGTGGGGATTGTTAGGAAAGGAATAGAGGCAGAGCCAGAAAGGGGGAATCTTTGTCCATTCACACTATGGGTCTTAAACAGCCATTCCCATAGAGTTTCTACATTGAGAACATAAACTTCTATCCAACATAATATGCGGGTCTACCATTGGGTATTACAATCTTATGATCATCCATTAATATTTTTATTATATCATCAGAAAATAAAAACTGTTCACCAACTTCTTTGAATGCAAGCATATGTTGTTGCATAAGAATCTATATTTCTTTCATTAATACTAATTACATACACAAAAATGACATCTAAAATAATTGAATAATTTACATATTTTGCTACAAAAGAATAATGATATAATATTTACTTATGTATTAAGTTAGTTTCATTAAATTGTAATTTAGTTGTATAAATGTTAAGTTTTTTCTTTCAATAATCTAAAAGAATTTCCATATTTTGCTGCCAAAGAATAATGGTATATTTATTACATAAAATTCTATATATTAATATTGTAATGTAATGTAGTTGCATACTAGGTTATTTTTTTCAATAATATTGATCACATAATAATATCTAAAATAATTGAATAATTTCCATATTTTGGGATCTTTTTAAATAATGTAAGCATAAAGTTAAAGTTATATATATTAATATTGTAATGTAGTTGTATAAATGTTATTTCTTTCAATAACATTGATTATATAAGACTGACATCTAAAATAAGTGAATAATTTCCATATTTTGAATGAATAATTTTAAATAATGTATAATATTGTAATATAGTTGTAAAAATGTTATTTCTTTCTTTAACATTGACCACATAAGAATGACATTTATAATATATGAATAATTTCCATATTTTGAATGAATAATTTTAAGTAATGTATCATCAAATATATTTTAAAAATTAATTTACTTTTAACCCATAATATTTTACCGAATTTTTAATTAATTTTGAAATTTATATTTAAAAATATTCATTATGAATCTAGTTTTCAAAATAATTAAAATTTTAAAATATCCACAATAGAGATTAGAGGCCTCATGGGCGGGCGAAAAATATTTTTAAAAGGATAGGAGGGCGGGCGGGTTAAATAAATTAAAATAATTTAAGTAAATATTAATAAAAAATTCTTCTTATGAATTTTTTTGGATATTAAAAATTAAAATGTCCTTCTTTGGTGTCAAAAACTTTTTTCAGAAAATAAATAAACATTTTTGTATATTTAAAACTACTTTGGTGGAAACGACAAGAAAGAGATTTGCCAAAGCTATCAAGATTATCAAGACAAATATTGGCAATTCCTGCAACTAGTGTTTCTTCTGAACGAGGATTTAGCATTTCTGGAAGGTTTTTTGAACAAAGAAGAACGTGTTTGAATCCAGGAAATGTCGATTCATTATTATTATTGCATTATAATTACATATAATATCTATTTATATTTTTTTATAAATATTTTATTTGATCAAATAAATTATCCATAATTAAATTGAATATTTTTTATGCTTAATATAGTTATTTCCTAAATTTTAAAACTTTTTGTAGAGGTGTAATGCTAAATTTTTTTTAGATGCTTAAAAAATTTAAAGAATGGCCATAATTAAATTTTATAATAGCGGGCTTGGGTTAAAATTTTTTATAAATAATGAGTAGGCGGGTAAAAAATTTTACACTAATGGGCGGGCGGGTATAATTTTTGAAAACTATGAGCGGGCGGGTTAAATTTTTTTTAAACATTGGGTGGTCGGGCTTATAGTCCAAAAACCCGCCCAATGCAGACCTCTAGTAGAGATTGATATTAAGATAATTTTGGTACAGAGCATATCGACTAAGTAATTTTTAAAATGATGATATAGGGAAATTCCTTTTCCTAAATTCGCATAATATTTTAATCTCGATTAAAAAATTCACACAGGGCATAAATTTCATTGTAAAATGTGCCTGAAGGTTTTATCATTAAACAAGACTAGTTAGTAGCTTCAACTTGAGAAAATATTTAAAGATAATATATCTAAGATTTAATAACAAAGTGTAGCCACTATTTAATCTTTAAAATAAAATTTGAATAATTTTTGAGATGAGTTTATGTAAAATTTCATTTCCTGGCCCAGTCCAAACGTCGTATGTTTCAACTGGCCATAAGATATTATTTAAGAATTATATTATAAATTAAAAGTTGCAATAAATAATTAATATTAATATCTCATTTTATCATCAGGCTCAACTATATGATAATATTATATAGATTATTATTATTTGGATCTTAAATAGCTGCTATTGTTCACCCTAATTTTAAGTTGAAATTTGCCGTATATTAATTTGATTGAATCCAAAGGGCAACTTAATAGGCTAATGGTAAAGTTAAATAATACTATACCAAACCAGATCAAAAACGTCACCTACTATAAATGATATTTTTATTATTAATACTATTGAACCTCTAGACGCATTTTTTAACTCTAAAAATGCTCAAGTGAATATTTTTGATGATTCTTTTTATATAAAAAATATGTATATTAAATTCAATACTGCATTCTCAAATTCTAGTGTTGAACAATTATTTATTACGGTAAAGCTTATACCTTCTGATCATCGCTCTAGATTTGAGGCTGACAGTATAGAAATGTTAAATTATTATTGAAATGCAATAAAAAATAAATTTATTACATATATATTTGAAATTATATTTATATTTTTATACCAAAAAATATTTTAAAATTCTAAAGTAGCGGTAATGATACCGCGTTATTTTTAAAAGTAGCGTTTAACAACACAATTTACGTAATTTTAAAAAAAAATCATTTTATATTTAAGTACTAAAAATTAATTTCACAGCTTATATAATTTTAAGAAAAAAAAAGGGGCAATATTCTGCAAAAAATATTTTATTATTAAAAAATGGTATAAATTCACTTATTTTTAGAGGTGGTTAAATAATTTGGTATAAAAAAATGAGCTAAGATTATATTCCAGAAAATAAAAGGCATTTTATAGTCTTAATTAATAATCAAACTTGTAAAAACTGACTTTTCATTCATAAAGGAATTCGATTAATTTTATTTAGAATGCATTCTAAGATTTATTTGTATTTCTAAAAAAATAGAATTAAAAACATTTACGAATCAAAATAATAATATAAAAAAGATTTCCTAAGAAATACATAATTGTATTCCTAAAGAGAAACAATAATTAAATTTAATGGGTTTTTAAAATATTTACATTTCATTAGATACATAAATTTAAAAAAAACTACTTATAAGATAAATTATTAAGAATCTTAAGTTATTTATCTCTTTGATTTTTAGATTCCACAGAGGTATTTAAATCTCGATTTTTTACGTGACCGGATAACTCATTGCACTGCAACATATATACTATTTTATATAAAAGAAAAGAGCCGTATCTAATTTAATATCTATCTATTTTCCCAAATCATAGCCCTATCTCGCCAGTTAGATAAATATACGACAGGACAATTGACATGGAAAGCGGGTTTATCATCGGCCATGGGCACTGCTTTCATACGTCAAACGCCTAAATCCCGATTTGTAATCTCGTTTCAGGTTTAAAAACATATACGCCCATGATCATTGATTATCAGTTTATTTATTGGTATCACTGATATCTATCACAAATTTTATGCTTGCAGGCATAGTTATTTGATGGCTTAAAGTTATGAATTTTCACTTTAATTATTTTTATACATAAATATATTTTTATTTGAACAGTTGGGAATACCTCATTCATATATAAGTCTATCATATTCGCGCCAATTAATAGAGGATCTTAAAATAAAATCGCAATTAAAGTAATTGATACATTTTTTAATTCAATTTTATTTTATTTAATCTATTATGACTATTTAAATGAAATGATGTTTTTTTTAATTCAAAGCGACAATTTACTTTCATTTTAATACTGTGAGAAAGCAATATTTCTAGGTTTTGGTTTTTTAAGCAACTAAAAAAATTATCATTTACTGGCAGATCCCAAAAATCTTTGATTGTTAGACACCTTAGCATTTTCTTTATTCGAAGCACATTCTTCAGAATCACTCAGTTCAATAAATATGGTAGAGCGAGTTTTTATTTTTTATGGTAATAAAAATAATAATTTTAGGACTAACACATTATTTGTAATAACCTCTAACAATAATTAAAAGCTTAATGCAAAATATAGTTGAATAGGGTATAAAATTCGATCTAACCAATCAGTTTTATATTTTCCGTTAATGAATAAGATTAACTATTTAATAAATAATATTAAATTAAATAATATAATTGTTATTATAAAAACGACTATCTGAAAATTAAATAGTATATTATATATTAATTTACATTTATACGCTTTGTAGAATAAGTATAAAATTAAATAGTTTTATGTGAAAAGTATAACTAATAATTATTTTAAAATATTTACGAAATAAACCCTAACCAGAAGCCTTTCCTGATATTCCTCTGCTGATTGCCTTTTCACAATCATACTAAGACAGAAAAGGGTAATTTGGGATAACTTTTGATTTGTTTAATTTTTTGTATTAATATTAAATTTAATTTAATCAGATTTGGTACTTTTGGAGCAATGATTGAATATGGCTGTGAACAAAGATTGACTCAACATACTGTAGTAGGGGCTTACATGAGTGTGGGTGTACCATTCGGTGTCAATATTACTCTCAAGTTTAAATTTATCTATTTTATGAATTTCACGTTTGTTATTAGAGACATTGGCTTCAGGTGAGTTTTTATTTTTGAATTTAAAGAATGTCAATAGCCTTTGATATATTTCATCATTTATTTTTATTATGAGCATAGTTTAAAAAAACTTAGCTTTTAAGCTTCCATGAAATAAATTAAACTAGTGATGCCTCTAAAGAACTACCTGATCTCCCGATTTTCATAATTTTTGTTAGACCTAGTCAGATTCATAGATCCCATAATATCCACCCTCTTATACTTTGATTTCAATTTGATAATTGCTTTTAAAAATAAATTACAGATCAAAGTGAAAAGGAACTAATTTATTTATGGTTCAAAGCCCACGGGTCAGGCAAATTTTTTTGGACTAAGGGCAATTTTTTTTAGAGCTCACATTTAGGAAAATTTATGTCTTTTACCTTCATAAAGGTTTGTACGGACCGGGTAAAACAACTTGTATAACATTATTTTACGGGATGGGCTGAAAACCCTTTTCAAAAATTTTCATGCTTCTAGTTTGAAAAGTTTTATTTGATAAAAAAAATACCCCAAAACATTAATTTATATATTTATAAACTCTTACCTTTACAATCTCTTTTTGAGAAACCTCAGCAATTTCATAAACTAGAAACTTTTCTTTAAAAAATAGAGAAAAAAATTTCTGATTTCCCCAAAATTAACTATGCCCAAGATTTATTGCTGTTAGTATTTCCTACACCTAAATATTATTTGCTTGGTAAATTATATGCATCCTCGGAATTAAAATTGATATAGAAATTAGAATTACATTTTCAAAAAATTTTTGATTTTTCTTTTGCTTATTTTTTTAAAATTAAGAAACGAAAAATATTAAAACAATTTATTTGTATTTATCCACAAAATAAATTTAATTTTAATAATTAAATTATATATCAATTAAAAACTGTTCAAACACAAAGACAGGAAGAGGGATTTTGTTGGTAAGGAGAAGGAAGACAGCTTTTGACTAGAGAAAGGGGTTTGAAAATATTTTTTGCCATGAATTGCCATGTTTTTGCTTTTTTGAAAAAAAGGTATTAAAATTTATGTTTAACCAAACAAATTTTATCAATGTGTAGCCTAAATATTAATCTTTAAAATAAAATTTGAATCAAAGTTCTATGTATAATACTTTATGAGCTAAATGAGATTATGTGAAAGTTGTTTTTCTGGCCAGTCAATTCATAGTATGTATTGACTGGCCACTATGTGTTAACTGGCCATAATATATTATTTAAGAATTTTATTATAAATATGAAATAATACAATATGAAATACTTGTAAAAGACCTATATTGATATTTCTACATTTTTTAGTTATATAGAAAATTAATTATACACTAATTTAATTAGTATTAAAATCTCAATTTATTACCACATCTATTTAATGATAATATTATAAATTATTATCTTAATTATCATTTTACTACACATTCTTAAGCTTGTTCATCATTTTATTTCACCAAATGTTGTTTTGCAAGAGCTTTTCATTTTAATAAGAATATGTGAATGTACGAATTATGGCCAATCAATACATGGCCAGTCAAAACTCACCTCTCTATTATTATTAAGCGCATTATATGTTTATTAAATAAAGCTTTTAAAGTCTAATTTTTTGTGTGAATAATGCTAAATTCCTAAGGATAATATTTATATAAAATATCAGTAATCTAAATTAGTAATTTTTTCACCAAACAAAAAAATGTGTAGCGTGATTTTTCCAGAAATAGGTACTAAAAACAGTTTATTTGAAATATTTTTTTATTGAATTGCTCTATTCAATAAGTGAACTTAGGTAAGGTACATAGCATAAATATACACATTTTGACCAATTTTGAGAGAAATTGGTCCAATAGATAAAAAGTTAAAGGGTGGTGACCAGTCTTCACACATGGCCATTTATGACACATTTCCCCTAATTGACAGCAGTGAAATGAAGAGAAAGGTATATTAATATAAAATTACTAGAAAAAATATATAAATAAGACATTTTACTGATTCTTGATAGATAATATTGATGATTTAAAGGGCCGGTCCAAAAAAAAATTCGATTTCTGCCCAAATTTTTTTCTAGCCACGTCCTAACAGTCTTAGCAGCTAGAAAATCAAAATTTTTCTAATTAGATTATGAATATAAAATATGTGCTAACGAAAGATTATTTCCGGCTGAAGACCCTCCACTCTGGCCTAAAGCCGGACTGGGGTGAAACCTTATATTTTAAATGTAACTGCGTAAATTGTAAAATATTACTGAAATCATAAATTATTGATTCTGAACAAATTTTAAAATTTATATTTTGTAACTAATGTATAAAAATCTATTAAGAATATTATCCAATTATATTTTTATTATATAGAATGAACAGAGCCAATCAAAATTTTTCATTCGTAACATTGCTTTGTCAAGAATTGCTACCTGCGCCTATTATCATTGGCACCCTGGCTCCTTACCTCGCCTATTTTACTATTAGCTATTTCATCGTACAGCCCTATATGGCTAGACAAGATAAAAAGTTTTCTCATATATAACAGTCAATGCAACATGTTTATTTATATTTAAAAAAAGTTAATTAATAGACAATCTGCACTTATAGAAATGCACTTTATAAATATTCTAATTTCATGTTTAATTATAGTTCCTGATAATCTAAATGACTTGTCACTAGGGTTGGAAAATACCCGGTATTTTTAATTGCTGTAACTTTTCCTTGGGAATTAATGATATTGCTTAAATTGTAACCAATACTACGGAAACAATTAATTTTTTTAGTGAAAGCATATAAAACATAAAGATTTATAAATAAGTGGATTTTCTTTGTTTTTGAATAAAATTTTAAGTACTCAACTATATAAGTTATAAATTTTAAATTTTTTAATAATTTTTTTTTCGATTGACTTTGTTTCTACAGTAAGTTTTTATTTTTTTTCTAAAGATGAAAATCTCCGCTCTGTACTTTCGGTTGTTAGAAACAAAGTTAGGATGAATTTGCATAATTTAAAAAATCTTTAAAAACTTTTCATTAATTCGTCATTCTTAAAAATTCGAGTATTTTACTAATATTCTTTTTAAATTCATCGTCCCTGAGTACTACCTTTAATTCGGTTTCTAGCTTGTGTAAATTAAAAATAAGTTTCATTTAAATTAACAATAAATTTTGGAAATTTTGATAAAAAAATATAATTTTTTTTTATATAGTAAAAAAATAGTATAATAACGTAGTAAATATAATTTTAATTTATTTAGCATAAAACATTTTTGTAATTTAAAATTATATTATAAAATATCCCTGAAGCTATAAATTTTCGGTCAATTTTAAAAACTAGATTTTATAGTGATAAATATTTAAGAGAATATATTTATAAAATTAAACAAAATTGCAATTCACAAGCTCTATACTTATGAGAACTAATAAAGATAAGGAAGTTTTCCTTCAAGAAAAATTGCATGGGAAATAATGATTCCCTTGTTTCTGTGAACGCTTTGTCACTGCTATTTGGTAACACTTATTTTAAAGGGCTTACCTACTTATCCATCATTTTCATCAATTAATTTATACAAAAAATAAATTATTTAGAAAATTAGATGAAGAAAAAGAATTCTTTGCCGATAAATTATTCGAAAAGAAAAAAGAGGCTGAAGCATCGGTATTATGCAATTTATTTTACTATAATGTAAACGTTATTTTAAAGGATGACTCGTTACTTTTAAAAATATCATTTCATTTTACGCCCTAATATTTAATCAATTTTATTATTTTTAAAATAATATAATACATGTCGTAGGTTTTCTGGAATAAGGATTTACCCGGAATACTGACATAAGGATTCAATTCAGATTTAAATCATTCACAAGAGCGTTTTTTAATTTTAAAAAATCTTTCCTTTTTGTAAATGTATGTTAGCATTCGGAATATTTTGCCATATATTTTTGTGTATTTTTTAATTATATGAAAATTCGGATATAAAGAAATTAATATAAATTAAAAGTAATTCAAAATTTACGACAAAATTGTTTGAACTTCATAAGATATATACTCTACACAAATACGGAAATACATTTGCGATAGAATTGGATTTTTTAAATATAAAAACCGCTCTTGTAAATGATTTAAGATAGAGAAATTTTGAACGCATGAGGTCGTTAAGTCGTTATTCCAGAAGGTTTTCCGACATACATACCTGGATTTAACAAAAAAAAACTTTTTAAAATTAATGCACCATTAACTTAAGATCGATCTCATGAAAGAATCTTATAACAAAATTAAAACCTCTGAGAAAACTAGAATGGGGCTGATAATAAATAAAGCTTTATACGGTAACCTGTCTTCTATACCCGAATACCAATACACGATCAGTGGGTGCGCGTAAAAAAATTTATACTATTTTTTATCACATCAAATTATCGCCCTTTAATGGGATTTTATAAATTCACTTTTCCAAGCTTTTTGAGGTGTGAGTTATTCTTAATCGGTATTTGTACATCGTTGGTTGCACTAGCAAACCATCTTATCTAACTTCTTGAAAATTTTTGTGGGCAAATAATTTTTGTTTTAATATATTTTTTAAACGTTTTGATATTTGAAATTGAAAAAAAAATTATAATATAGTAATTTTATAATAATTTGGTATAGTAAAGAGATACTCTTGATAAACTCATTTATGCAAGAAAATAATCTAAACATCTATGAGGGTTTAAGTGCTGCTGATGATATACAGTATTTAACCATTGGCTATTGTTAATGTGAACCATTTTTTAAAATCCGGGCAAAAGTTTTATTCCCGTGATGTTGAAATTTCGGTATCATCCATTAGTTCGTATTTTTATTTCTGAAATTTTTATCCAAGGTAAATATAAATAATATTCTTACCTCAAGTCTTAACACATCGGGGGAGTGACAACGTCTTCTGTCATCTAATGGAAATTTAAAAGGGTCCCTGTGGTCTGGATTTAGAATATAATCACTATCTCCTCTACCGGGTGTAAAAGTCATCTATAGGGGTTGATGCCAGGAGGGCATCCGATTTTATAAAACCCCACTCCAAATTCCCATCCCTAATGATTACAAACAAAGTATCCCATGGGTCTCCTCATCCACCGGTGACAAAAAGAAGGATGGGAGACCTGAACCACGATTCATGAAAACGACTTGACAATATATGGAGAAACGAGTCTATTAGTGATAGAGTAAGAGTTGCGACGTGGAATGCAGGGAGCATGCGGGAAGAAGTGGTTGAAGCACCATAAAGCGCATATAGATATATGTTATATACAAGTGACAGATGGAAATTGGGTGCACAAATGATTAGCAAGACAAATGAAAAGTATAACTTTTTCTGGCAAGGAAGTAATGATAGTAAAGCTGATATTGGCGTATTTGTTGCAGAGAAATGGGTGGACAAAGAGTAAGCAGACTAGATAATGATTATCAAAATAATCTTTGGTAGGCTATTCAATATTATCTCGGCATATGCTCCTCAGGTTGGCAGAATTGAAGAAAAGAAAGATATATTTTGGCACAGTCTATTGAGGCAACATCGAGACTGGCAATTGAAGAGGGGATAATCTGGCTGCTGATCTGAGTGGTCACGTCGGAGCGAGTAGTGATATGAGGTAGTACATGGGTGGTTTATTTCATCACAAAAAATTCGGTAGGGGAGAGAATTTTGGATTTTAGGGATGCTATGTATATAATTTGTTACGTTACAATGTTTAAGAAAGAAGTAGAGAAGCTGATGAATTACAACGGGTAGTGCTAAAGTGTATTAAGTCAATAAGGTTGTCGAATTAAATAGAATTTCAAATTAATTATTAAAATAAGACTTTATTTATTACAAATTTTTTTTTTCTCTTTAGCTTTCACCTTTTCTGGTGGTAAGCTCCTTCAACATCTCTCTCCACTTTATGTTATTCATACAATCTCTTTTATCATATTTATACTTCTTTATATTGGCTCTAACTTTATGGCCCCATTGAAGTTTTGGCCTTCCTCTTTTACGTTTGCCCCAAACTCTCAACCTTATTTCCTATGTAGTTCATAGGCATTCTCATTGTGTGCCCATACCACCTAAGTCTGTTTACCATTAACTTAGTCTTAATGGGCACTACCTTTAAACTACTTAGTAATCTTGTACTGCGCACTTTATCCTTTCTTGTTACCCCAGCAATCATCCTCAGCATTCTCATCTCCATAGTTTGTAGACTTCTCTCGTCTGATTCTTTGGTTGGCCATGTTTCCGAACTATATAGAATTGTTTTGGTTGTACTATGGAACTGTAAATTTTTCCCTTAAATTTGTGTGGGATTCTTTTGTCAAATAGCACTCCAGATAAAGATCTCCACTTTAACCACCCTTGATTAATTTTACTCTTTATCTCTTTTTCTATTGTGCCGTTTGTTTGTATAGTGGATCCCAAATATTTGCAGCTTTCAATTGCCGATATCTGCCATTCATTTATATCAATACTCTCTGTTTCATCTCCTCTTATCACCATATACTCCGTCTTTTCTCTATTTACTTTTAGTCCGTGCTTTTCTAGGATATTTATCCAACTCACTAATCTTTCTTTCATTTCATCCTTGGATTCGGCAAGTATCACAATATCATCTGTAAATATCATATTCCACTGGACTGTTTGAGGTATAGACTGTGCTAATACATCTATTACTGTAATGAAGAGAAGTGGGCTGAGAGCCGACCCTTGATGAACTCCTTCGGCTATTGTGAAGCCTGCTGAAGTACCTGTTGTGCTACGGACCATTGTTGTATGGCCCATATAATATCCTGTATTATTCTTATATATTTTTCGGGAACCTTTTTGTGGCGTAGCGCCCACCAGATAAGTTTTCTTGGGATTCTATCGAAGGCCTTTTCTAGATCGAGGAAGACCATGTGTAGCTTTTTGTTCTTTTCCCTGTATTTTTCACTCATTCCTATTTCGATTATGTCTCTTAACCTTTTTTCTATTATTTTTTCTTATAGTTGTAGACAGTGTGACATTAGTTTTATGCCCCTGTAATTTTGACAATTGTGTGGATCAAAATTGATTTACATATCTACGAATTATACAATTATTAAACATGTCTACAAATTATATCATTATTAAATTATCGCATATGCAAATCATAATTTATTTTAAAAAACTTTAAATTTTACTTTTATATAAAAAAAACAACTACAATATTTGCATGTCGTAATTTGAACACAGAAAATTATATTTAGAAAAAAAAATATGTAAATAAATAAGCCGTCTATTATTTATACTTCCTTCCCTTCGAAGGGCTTTAGTACTCTGCGTTATCCCCCTGCAGGTTCTTCAACAGTTTGCCCGGACAATATCGAATTGTTGTTACCCACTATGGCGGTTTCGATGCAGTCCCTGATAAATTGGTCATCTCCACAACCCTACATCTTATTCTGTACGGTAAGTAAGACCACCTTGCCATTCCTCTCTTCTGAATCGATCCCTTGATATAGTTCTTATCTAGTTAATCATCTTTCCACATAGACGTTCCGCTTCTTTTCTAGCCCATTAAAGATCTCGGGATTCTCTTGAACCGTCTATTTTCCCGGATCTCAATTTTTACAATCTTGTTACCTACTCGTACATACGTAGTCATTAAAAATAAAATTAAGACGCATATAATTCTTATCTTTTCCACCTTTTTCCTCTATCTTATCTTTATTTCTCCCTGTACCCCTCCCTTCAAGACAAATCGACTTTATCGTCCCTTGATAAACTTTCATTTCGTTTTTCAATAAAAATCTTTAGTTATGGTTTTTCTACCATCTAAAGTTTTCCGTTTTTAATAAAAACCTCAAGTTATTATTTTGCTATCATCCAAAATTTTTGTTTTTCAATAAAATCTCAAGTTATTATTTTGCTAGTATCCAAAATTTTCATTTTTCAATAAACTTCTAAATATTCTATTAATTTTGTTTAAATTGCTCTCTATTTTCGGTCTTAAAAACAAAATGAAAGATTATCAAGGGGAGATAAAATCGTTGTCTTGGAGGGAGGTGTATACGGAGAAATAAAGATAAGATAGGGGAAAAGGAGAGGAAGGGATAAGCATTATATGCATGTTAATTTAATTATTAGATGGCTACGCATGTATGAGTAAGCTACAAGATTGCAAAAATTGATATTCGGGAAATCGACGGTTCAAGAAAATCCCGAGATTGGCTTCAACGGGCTAGAGAAGAAGCGGCACGCCTATTTGGAGAGATGATTAACTATAGACAAGAACTATATCAAAAATCGATTCACAAGAGAGGAACGACAGAAAGCAAGGTGGTCTTACTTACCGTCCAAAATAAGATGTTGGGAGTTGTGGAGTTTACTATTTTATCCGGGATTGCAGCGAAGCTGTCATAGTTGGTAAAAATAATTCGATATTGTTCGGGCAAACTGTGGAAGAACCAGCTGGCAGATAACGAAGGGTATTGGTGTAAAGTCCTTCGAAGGAAATTGTGTTATAAGTTTAATAATAGCTGCTTATTTTATAAACATAGTTTTTTTCCCAAATATAATTTTCTGTGTTCAAATTACAGAATACAAATATTGTAGTTCTTCTAATATTTTTTGTTAAAAAGATTAAATAGTTATTTTTTTTATATAAAAATAAAATTTAAATAGTTTTTCTAAATAAATTATGATATGTATACGCTATAATTTATAATGATATAATTTGTAGACTTGTTTAATAATTGTATAATTCTTAGACTTGTAAATTAATATTATGTTTATTATAATTATAATTTAAAAATTTGTAATCATGATCATTCTTATATTGTTTATTATTTGAAATTTTATTTAATTCGAAAACCATAAATTATTTGATGAACTACAGTATTTGCATGACGTAATTTGGATGCAGAAAATTATATTTAGAAAAAAACTATGTAAATAAAATAAGCCATCTATTATTTATTATAATAAAAAGTACGGTGGATTTTTTGTTAGTGAGGAGATGTGATGGTACATAATAAAAAATGTGAAAGTGAATACCGGGAGAGGAATGTATTCAGCATCGACTAGTTATAGTTATAGTAGACGTGTGTAGATGGACAAAAGAGCCGTCTAGACACTAGGATACATGGTGGTAGATTTTATGAAGAAAACTCATAATATATGGTCAATGGTAACTTTTTATTCTCAATTCTTGTAAATATATATATATACTATTCTATAATTATTCAATTTAACTGACTTTTATATAATATTAAATATAAATAAGCTATATTATTGTATGACAAATATATTATTCAAATAACGTAGAATATTTTAACACTATATAATATAATATATCTTATTTCCCCCGAGTTCAAGTTCTCATCTTTTTGTTGCTTTCGTTCCCTCGTTG